CTAAATTTGTGATTTTATCACCAGACGTCCCTATAACTCAAAAGAATTATATTATTTTATATGAGTACAAATAAATCAAACCGTTTTCATTTGTATGCCAATGCATTGTAATATAATATCAGCATTAGTAAATAAAGGTCTGCTTTATTGTTTATTTATATCTCAAAAAGGCTTGATATACAACAAAACAGCTAAAATTCCAGCCTACATACTACATGACCTTCTACATAATAATACAGCATAAAAAGTTTAAACAATTAAAACCATTTACCAGTTTCTTTTGTATGTAAATGTGTTATAATATAATTTCAGCAATAGCAATGGTTTCAAACTCCAGGTGTTGCCAGCACGGCACTGTCGAAGGCATGACGATGTTCAAAGTGATGCGCCTCCTATCACTTACATGTTTGTCTAGCTTCTAATAAAAATATTTATAACATGAAATTTATATATTAAAATTCTACATGAACTACTGTTTAATACAATATAAATATAATTTAATTTGTGCTAGTGTATAATTATTAATTATGGAAAATATAAAAAGGTTACTTTGAGTAAACATGAAAAAGTGAGTAAGCGAGGATTTTTTTTATTTTTCGGTCAGAGAAAAACTGCCAGTGGGAAAAGTATAGATGACTAGATATTCCTCAATTTTTGTTTCAAACATTTTTTCATAAGACTTTTAGTTTGTCATCGCTGGGGATCAGAAGTATGCCTATAGGTCGGGAGTGCGCCCGAGTTCGCGTGCCGAGAGCCGGGTCTTTAAAAAAAGTGGTCAAAAAAAGCTCTTCATTTCCAGACATGTTTTTCAGTATTAATAACATTTTTTTACCAAAAAAGTGCCCCCATATAGCCTCTAAAACGCCAAAAATGGGGTAAAACCATCATATTATACCTATTTGGGGTGTTTTTTCGCCAAAAAATTTAAAAGTCCTGAGTCCGAAAACGCCGAAAGTGGGGTCATATTCTGGTTTTATATCTACTAACAATATTTGACCCTCCTATTACATAAATATGTTAGTTAATTTAATATTCAAACTCGTGTACATGTTGCTCGAATTCGAGCAATTTCAAAGTATTACAGAATTTATTTCAAAACGAAAAAAAGTAATAATCAATGAGTTTAAAAGAGTCAACTCAAAGATCACCAGTGTGTAACTGCTGGAGATACTCACGATGTATATACAGTAATCAACATTTCCTGTAAATATTTTATCATATTTCATAAATTGGTATTGCTTTTTAATGTTTCTACAAATGTTTCCTGACTTATAGCTGCATAAGGTTGTCCATGTTTATCTTATTTATTGATAAACCTATGTATGGCACCACCCTTGTCGCCAGCAGTAAGTTTACAAATTTCAGTAATTTTTTAATAAAGATAAACACTTTTTTGATCATATTAAGGACTTCCTGTTGTCTGTAACAATTTTATTTGTTCAATCGGCGTATTTTTATTTATTTAGCTAAATAAAACATTTATTTCATTGAAGTAAACTAATATAGGCCTATTTATATTCACTGTACTGTGTATAACAAAATATCGATTGAGAAACAAACAATTACACGTAATAAGAACCTCGCTAGTCCACTGCATTGTGATAGCTGAAAATCGTCGGAATGAAAACCGCCGCTACAAGATACAGAAGTTGGTACGCCTGCAGTGCCCTCCACAGCTGCGCGCGCCGCTGGCACTGCCGCTCAACACATCCCCACCTAAAAGACGAGCAAGTGGTAAGTCGGTCGGGAGGATTGACGACAAGTTGGTTTCTCGTATATAATAATTTAGATTTACAGGCCGGTCAACTGGACTGACGATGAAATAACTTGTCGACGTACTGGTTTTCAGTATTTATCTATTTAATTAAAAAAGACGGTCTAGTGGCAAGACGACCAAGTATCTTGTCGGTCAACTGGTGGCCCCCCCACTGGGTACTCATAGTTTATTATTTACTACGACTACGACCTCGTGGCAGCAATGAATCATGTTCCAACCTGTCACAGCTCCCCTGCCCTTCCACACGTAAGTTCAAATTGAGATTGTGAAGAAATTAACAGACTTTGAGGTAAAACAGGTTATGGATTATAACAAATTACACCTTTTTGGTAAAGTAAATACGGAACGAACAACTTTCTTATAGTCAATCAAACGTTTCTGCCTGCAAGCCTGTATGAACACAGTTAAAAGGAGGTAAATGAAACAGTTAATCAAAAGGCTTTGCGTTGCAAAGTTAAAAGCGGCATTTTAGGTCTTTAAGTGCAATAATGAGCTTAAGAGATTTAATGTCTTTGTCTTGACCAAGGGTGGATGAGAAATTGTATGAACCGTATGTTTTACTTTTACTCGCCTTCGCATTAGTTAGGTCTTGTTCACGGTTTCGCTTCATTCAACGCAATCTTTCTGCTTGTCAAGAAAAAGGTTGCCAAGTTTTAGACACAGTCAAATATTGAATAGTAGATTGTATCTTTTGAATCCCGACAGTGTTTAAGGACCACAAAATAAGAATCTTATTTGAGCATAGATTTTTTGTTAGTGTTGAAAATTCTTACACAATATGAAGAGAATAATTAATTTATTAATGTTGAATTTTAAAGTGAAACCAATTATATCATGCAATCGACTTAAGAAAAGTTTAGTTCTAATAGATTATGTTGTCTCAAAAAAACGTTTATCTTTCTTTTTGAAGTGATGAAATGTGATTGTGTTTAATCGGGTTGTGTTTTATCGTGTGCATTCCTATATAATTCATATATTCATATATATTCCTAAATATCTATAGTTAACTGTACATAATAAGTAAATGTTTCTCTTAAGAAAGTCCTCCATGGTTTCACAACCTCATTAAAACATCCAATCATTAAAAAAACTTGGAAGAATGTATACACAAAGCTGTATTTTCAACGTTTTACGAGAATGCGAAGTAAAGTTTTACATGGGCGAAGTATGTCTATAGTTTTATTGTTGCACTCTAAAGAGATTTATTATACTAAAATATTTAAAATAGAAAACTCTTTTACATCTAGAAAATGTTCTGAAAATAAATAACAATTTATGTTAACAATGTCTGGTTATAAATGAATTCCACCATAAAGAGCTTCCATAGCTATGCAACCACACCGCCTCGAGCAAGCTCCCAGATGACAGGATTTCATTTATCTCTCGTTTCTTTCCTTACAATAAATACCCTACTGTGTTTTAAAGAAAAAAAATATGTATCTACAGCAAGTACTGTTTTGGTAATTATGACACACTATTTCTTATTGGCTTAAAGAAAAATTATATTTAGCTTGACTGTGATTTAAGTAATTTTAAAAATAGTTTATTTAGTTTTTTGTTTATTAATATTCATTATGAAATCTCCTGGGCTACGTAGATATGACTTTTCAGGCTATGGTCAGTAGTCCAAATTATGTCAACATTTCAAAAAGTATATGTTTAGTTGCAATGCAACATCATCAGAGGCAACACATCAAAACATTAAAATTGAACAATAAATAGTAGATACGTTACACAAACGACATTTAAACACATGAAACGACACGAAACTTTTCATGTAGACACTTCGTTTGCTAACAGTTAGAGTTCAACGACTTAAACTTGATTGAAACACATTTTTTATTCAATACCTCCTAAAATATTGAATAAAAAATAGTATTACTTAATGACTAAATATTAATTTCTATATGCTGTTGATATTTGCACCGCACTATTCGACATTGCAAGCACTAAGACATAACGCAGCACTAAAGATGTGCTCAACCTGTCTAGCTAATGGTGTTAGATCCATTAGTCTGTCTCCGGCTTATTGTGCATATTGCTAAGACTTCCATCACCGATATACAGAAATCCTAGTACAATACGGACCTTGAATTAATTTTGCTATTTTGTAAACAATAGTTAGCTGGGAATAATCTATTTAGGTAAGATTGAATTTGATCTAGGCGTCTCGACAGGTTGCGTATTTTTAGACGAAGATTACTGAAGGATTAGGCAAATTGATGGACGGATAGCTTTGTTGTGCTAAGATCTACTGTTTTTAAGCAATCAATCATTGAGCTGTCAATAGTAATATAAATAAGATATGGAAGCATATGAGATAATTAACATTTATATTTTTAGTATGTCATAAAATCGTTAATCAAGATGGGGTCGCATATGAGTATGGTCGCCGTTTCAGAATAAAGTACTTAAGTATTAATCTTAACAAATTATTAGTGAAAGATCAGTATTAAATGAAGTAACGGGCCTTGTGTAGTTTTGTTACTGACCTAAGATAACTATTCATAGGCCTATAGTCAATGCTTTTATCCACTTTAATTATTAGTTAAACAGGTTATAAGTATTTGAACAATATCAGTTCAAGAAATGTTTATGCTGGATCAGCTTAAGTATATAAACACGAAATCAAACTACTGATCTTGCGTGTTCAATAACCAAATTGAATACTGTATGTTAGTTTACAATTCGTGCTCACAGCTTATTTTTACAGGAAGTAGCCCTAATATTTGTAAAAATAAATGTCAAAAACATTAATATACTAGCACTTAAATTATATCAAGATGTACAAACAAAATGCAATTCAAATCATTAGGTTTACAACTATCATATATTTCCTAACACAATCATCTTATATATGCAGCTGTTATTTCTTAGTTAAAAAAAAGTCATACAAGCTCAAATCTAAACAATAGGGTAGTCCTATTTACAATATTATTTTTCAAAGATTACTCAAAGTTTATTATTCTACTCTAACCACTTATGTTTCCTTCGTACGTTGTTATGAAAAAAAAAACACCCATATTAATTTGGTACATATATATTTTTTTCAGAAAAAAAAAAAAACAATATTAGAACCATTATTAAATATGAAGGGTAAAATGGCATTCAATTCACAACTAAGTGAACAGTTACATAAATGAAGTGTGCGTGCGTGTGAAGGCTGTGAAAGAACACTGTTACAAATGTGGGGCAACCCGCCTCGACGTGGGGAAGGACTTACCTAGAGGCCACTGGGACACTGGATCGATCCACAACCGATGGCCATTTCACCACTTGACCACGAGATTCGCTCACTCGCAAGAGTTTTGGTTGCTAAACTGTTACTAAATCACGAAAACGATAAGTCACTGTTTATTTACAAGGTCCGTAGCAAAACCGCAGGTAAGAGGATGTATTGCGCGAAAAGACGTTCTCGCATTGAACTAGAGATGGAGGCTAGAGCGCGTGCGCGCGTGTTCGGATGCTGCGGCTGGAGCGCCACCTGTGCCCCCTCCCACCGCGGCTATTGATGCGGAAATTTCAATCATCCCTAACTTCACCTATTAGCGGAAATAAATTAATCCCCGATAAAACCTTTAATGGGTTTTTACACGGGTTAGGAAGGTATTATGTGTTAGGAAGCATAATCAAAGTATTATAGAAATTAAACTTGATTCCGGTAGAAAGTAGTTTAATTTTATAAAAGTTATCGATATAAATAATCCAACATTATTATTTCAAGTAAAAAATAAGAAAAAATTCTATTTACATATATTCATGCAAATTAAACAGGACATTTTAATAAACTGCCAAAGTATAAAGCATGATTACTTCTCAGAAACTGTGATTTCATTGAAGACAAAACCTTATCACATTGAATATTTGATACTTGTAAAACCAAAGGTAGACTGTAAGTTGGTTCATTGATTTTAACACAACGCAAAGCACATTAATTTGTATTGAATTGTTATTTATTGCTGAACAACAGTGAATGATTCTCTCTGAAGCAAGATCAGCTGTTCTAAGATCAGCTGTCACTGATTGTTGTGTTTAATTAATGATTCATGAAACGCGTATCTACTACGCCTTCGAATTATTAGAGTAACTATATTTGAATTTCCATTGTATTTCAACAATACAGAGTTGTCATTAATAAGTCCTATTTCAACATTGAACAATTATAAAATGTTATATTTTTTTCTTTCGAGATATAAAATCTAAAACTGACTTTGGGAATGGTTCCTTGATCATATATTTCTTCAAATTGAATGTCCAAAGTGTAAAATAGTGTTTTTCGTAACTATTTCCACTTTAATATCTTTTCAGATAATAAAAAAAAACTCATGCAACTTGAAAAAATATAACAAAACTACAACATTCATCGTGCAATTGAAAAGATCTTCATGGGGATAAATCAAAAGACCCTAACAAAACTTTAGACCCAGAGAAACACAACAATACCTTTAACTGATACAATATGGATCACAGTTGGCAAAGGATTGGAAGTCTTCAAGGTCTATTAGCCTTGGCAGTTAACTCATTAAACAAAACCCTTGACAAAAGACGGCAGCATTCATTGTTGCTACACACACTAACGATTCGTGTCGAAGTGTATTTTTGTTCATTCATTCTGTTGGTCTCTATTAGATTGTCATTCACAACTTGTATATTTTGAAACTACAAAAAATCAAACGCAAATGATATCTATATGATAGCTTCTGTTGTGGAACATGTTGGAATTCACATACATTTTCTCATTTTTTTGCGTTGTGGTAGATAAGTCTATGTAGTGATTACTGTTAAAAGTGCAACATTTTAACAGCACCAATGCACTTTTTCACTTTTAACAGTAATCAATCACTACATAGACTTATCTACCACAACACAAAAAATGTGAAAATGTATGTGAATTCCAACATGTTCCACAACAGAAACTATCATATAGATATCATTTGCGTTTGATTTTTTGTAGTTTAGAAATAAAAAAGTTGTGAATGACCATCTAATCAAAAATACACATCGACACGAATCGTTAGTGTGTGTAGCAACAATGAATGCTGCCGTCTTTTGTCAAGGGTTATGTTTAATGAGTTAACTATTACACTTTTTTGTTTTACATAGCTTTGAAAAATCTAAAAAAAAGGAAAATGGCAATAACAAAATATTACATACATGAGTTAAGGAGGAAAGTAATGTAGACGGTTTAAACAAAAAACTGTTTCACAGACTGATTAGTTTAAATGTATTTTTTAAATTAAATGTCCCACCCATTAATAAAGGATGCATTGCACGACGTCCAAGTGCCCTGACGTTCAATGACATAAGTCAGTAACATAACGTCCAAAATATAATTCTTGACCTGTCTCACGACGTCCAAATCTTTTCATGTCCAAAATAACAGTAACTCCAATAAACAGTCTTTCTAAAAGCGCTGGACTTAATGACATCGGTCGTTGCGAAACAGCGCACTTACTCATAAAAAGTAGCAGTTGTACCTCGTACAAAGCCTAACCTAATCCAACCTAACCTAACCTTACCTAACCAAACCAAACCTAACCTAACCTAATCCAGCTAACCGTCTAGCAGCTCTGGACACGGTTAAGTGCGCTGGCGCACCTCTAAAGCTTGTAGAAAGACTATGTTTCTTGCAGTTACTGTACTTTTGGACATGATGAGATTTGGAATAGTTTATATTGGACGTCGTGTGACAGATCAAAAGCTATATTTTGGACGTCGTGACACTGACCCATCGCATTGGACGTCGTTAGATTTGAAGACGTGGCGTGGACGTTAAACACTCCCTTCATGAAGACATCATTGTTGTCATATCATATACAAAAATATATTTCCTACATTACTGTTCACTTTATTGGGACAGCGAGATACGATATTATACATTGTGTGAGGATAAACGAAGCAAAATCTGCAAGTTGTCCCACACAAACGCTAACAACATAGAAATGATTACTTTTTCTTTCAGAGCCAAGCCATCTCTCTATTGTAACACAACAACTAATCATAAAGATAATATTACTTCAAGATGAATTTGCCGCCTCGCCAATGTGGCGGGGTTTGCTCTATTGTTTATCATCTTGGCCATGTAACTCGGAGAGATGGGCCATCAGAGCCATCCACCGAGAGACTGGCTGTAGTAACAAATGAGCCATCAGAGAACACCTGTTCACAGTTGGCACGCTGCGGACGCCCGGTTCACAAGTATACCCAGATATATCACAGCCTACACCGTCCACCGACTGAAAAAGATTTTAGATAAAGTGTAAATACTGAAAAACTCAAATATCGAATTTAACTTGATTCAAAGTCTCAGAGATTTTTTTACATTAGTAAAAACAGAATCTCGACTTAATTTCGAACTTAAAAAATGATCTCGAGCCAGGAAAACGTTATTTTCGGCCCTAGGAACTAAATATACTACTAACCCTATAAAATGTGTTTTTCTAAAGATACACAATAACTTACTGGATACTTGTTTTACGAATGTGTCTTGGAACAAGGGCTGTGCCAGTACACTTCTGGTATGGTCAGTGATATGATTAATTATGGCATTAAAACTAGAGCTAGTTACTTCGTCCGAACGTGTCCATTGTGCTAAACTACCCTCTATTGACGATACGAAATATTGATACGAATTGTCCATTCGTTGTTTTAAGGAGGTTTTGATCCTACCTTTGAGCTCTTTACTGTCCTAAGGGTGGTTATTTGGGATTTTCCTGCTTGGATTGTGTGGTAATTTATGCTATGCTTAAGGTGCTTTCTCACCTGAAATGTGATCAGATTTCGGATTCCAAAAAAATTGTGAAATTTTGTTTTTACTAGGTACTCATGATGGAAAACAATTCTTTCAAATAAACTTACAGTTATTTTCTGGTGATGGTTATTTTATATTATTTTTTAGAGACGTGTTATTTGAAACAACGTGAGAACTTCGTCGTTCACCAAAGATGATATTGTAAACAAATACCTTTTGTTGTTTCATAAATGTCTGGTTATATACTTTTGACGAGAAAAATCGTTAAAAGACAATGCTAAGACTAGGAATCCCCCCAAATACTTTGATCTATTCATTATTTTATCTACACCAGTCAGTAACCCATTCTTAAAGTATCTTTGTTAGAAATGTATACTGAATGTACAAAAATTAAAAATCCTGTTTCAATTTTTACCGCAGTTACCGAAGAAAAAAGTAACTCATTGACATTTTAAATATTAAAATAAATATTATATTCCACAACATATTCTAATAAAATCCTTCTTATTCAGTTTGTTTTAAGCATATTGAGTGCTTTTATATGAAACTTTTTAGACAAAGTGTTTGAAATGCCAACAAAGTTGAACAAGAGAAGTAAACTTTAAACGTAAAGTAGGTGTTGGGCTCATCAGAGTTGACTCAGACTTTTCAAACACTACTCCAGAGTCCTATCTTGAACTTTTCTGTGTTTTACTCACTGAAAAAAAATATTCAGGTCTAAAGTTACTCCGTTTTAGACATAATGCTTCTTTAATAATCCTAGAATATGTATACAGTGTATATACTCACTAAATAGGGAAACTGTCTCGACTATCGATAACTATTTGATTTAGAAGATTACATAACTATTCTTATAACCAATGGTTAACTGAAAACATTAATCTGCAACTGGCCTTAAAATGACAACTAGTTGAAATTTTAGAATTAAACTAAAGTAAACCAGTAATCAAGATTTAATAAATGCCATGAAACCTTTGTACCTAAGTGTAATTTTCCTAGCCTTCTTTTCTTTTATTTCCCACGGAAACTCAATTTTCTCAATCGTTTGATTGTAGGTAACAAATGTTTGCAAACTGATATAGTTCTATAACCATATTATATTGGTAACGAACATGAATATAACGACTACCCATCCTACTAGAAGAATCAACAAAACATAATAGCAATCAGCAACAATTACATTTGAAAAAAACCTAACAAATAGTATAACACAATTAACATGCAAAAAACGGATTTAAAATTATTACCAATCGACCAAAATTATGAAGTATAAAATTCGACAAAATTTATTTTGCCTTTTTTGGGCCAGAATTAAATAAAACTGATTTTGACTGAAACAACGATAGAATGGACTGCACCACAGGTTTAATTTTTATCACAACCTTCATACTATGGTCATGGCCAAATAAAATAATGAAATGAGTAAATGAGCTAAGATTAAAAAACAAGAGAACAGTACGATTTACAGCAGGATAATTTACAAAAGCAAGACTATCTAATTTTAAGCGTACTTACGTTTATTCTCGGTGAGAAATGTGTCGACTTTGTCTCTGGTTGTCTGAGTTTCGTGTTTCAAGGGCTTTGAAGAATGTAAGACTGAGTGAACATTGACTTTGGATGCTGCAAGTAGAATTCTCATCCTGTTGTAGAATTTGAAACAAGTTAAGATTTTATCCTTACGCTTAAGTTGCTTATTGTTGAATTGATGTTTCCTCTAATGGTCAATATTACAGTTTATATCCTGGTTGGTTAAAGTGCCAGATGTTAGGCAGTGCATTACAAACCTATTTGGTTTTGTTCTCGCAATATTTTAAAAGTTGGTGTAGCAAAAATCATATATTGGAGATTTGGTGCATGTAAAATTATATTTGGCTTAAACAAACATTAAAACTATTTACAAAAGGTTGATAACAATACAAAAGATTATGGTTTTATTTATGAGGAATACATTTTGTTATCAGTTAAAAACTAAATATTAATGAAATAAAGAAAATAGTGACAATGAAAAAATACTAGCATGTAAGATATACTAATCCACTAGTATTCATTTTGTGTATTGCCCTCCTCCGGATTGCTTCACAAAAGATATACATGAGGTTAAATTACCCTTTTTGTCCAAGTAATCCTGAAGTATTCTTTATGGCGACCGGTTTTGACGATCATATGGTGTCGTTGTCAAGCCGGACGAGTACATTTTAAGTCCTCAGGATTACTTGTATGGAAAGGTGATATCAATCCATAATATTATAACAATGTAGAATAGAATTGAATCTCTTACTAAGTAGCTGCTCGTTTACACTAGCAAAATGGAAAACATGTCGGAAGTCGTTCTGAGAGGGCATGTTTACATAAAAAGCAGTATCGTTTCCTAACTTAGTTTCCTTAACTATTGGTACAATGAGACGAAAACTATAGTTCATCACACCGACAAAAATGCCTTTTCACCCCACTACGATGTTTTTAGCTGTTTGACATGCGTTAATTGGTGACTGAAAGTTACCTTCATCCATGCCAGCTGTCATCGTCATTTGGGGACCGAGTAGGTTTTTACATCTCTAGGGCCGCAAAATCAGCTGCCCGCTTACTATCTTAAAACATGAATACACAATCAGTATCCATGGCATTGCATATGATTTTTATATTATGAGGTTTTATTGCCACCGCCACCTAGCAACTATATATTATTATTTTTTCTGATTCCTCAAATTATTTCTTCACTTAACCTTAAAGTTGTAGTTGTGTATAACAGTTGTGTATATCAGTGTGCATTATTATTCGGGTGAATAGTGGTAATAGGATATAGTGTGGTGAAAAATAGCGTTCATACCACGGACCGAAATGGTTTTGCAGCTCTCGATCTTGAGCCGGCAAAACCTAATTTTTGGCCCAAGGTACGAAATATACTATTTCAACCCTCGCTCATTTTCCTTCAAACTGCAGCTCGAGTAAAACAATCACTTTCCGCCCGAGTGATGAAATAGGCCATTTTGATGGATATGATAACCAGGCATATTAATAAAAACGCTTAAGTAACAGCTGATAATAGTCAGTAACAAAGCTATAGTATACTCTATTCTACACTCACCTTTTATCATTGGGTTTAAATACGCTCTGTTAACATATGTTTTGTTTACATTTTATTTACAAAATGTGTTCAAATTATTATTTTGTTTACTTGTTGAATTGTTTTATGTTTACTTACAGATTGCGATTTAATAAAAACATACCTTCTATTTTCTTATACAAAATGTGAACTTTTATTAGTAAAATTAGTGGAATCAACACACTCAATTACTTCTCTACGTTAATCGGTTGTGATAATAATTATAATAGCCATCTTGTTGAACTAAAACTCTAATATTTTTAGTAGACTTAATCAAAACGTTTAGCACGCCTAATAACAAAATTTTCAAGATTCTACATCTCTAGACTAAATTAGTCTAGACATTCTACATGAAGCAGGTGATCAGAACCTCATGTTTACATAATATTCAACCACATCTGCCTTGGATGCAAATATGTTTTGAAGCAGCCTGAGACGCTCTCTAATTCCGCTACGATTATAATCAGCTGGCAAAGCCGCAAAGATGACGTCATGATTCAGTTAGAATGCTGGAACCGCGATGGTCGACAGCGCTGGTCGCCGCTCTACCATGTGAGTAAGAAGTACAGTTATGGACGATAGAGGACTGATTGAGGGAGTTATAATGATAAAACGAGTTTAAAAGTGATTACTGTATTACATAACGTTTAGGGTACTGCATTTCAAAGTGTTTTATACATAGTATACTATATCGTGTTTACTTTTTAAAAGAAAACATAGATTTTACATTTCCATATTTCGTTAATTCTTACTGTTGATAAATGTGGAATTCTCATTTCAATGGCAAGGCTCTATACAGTTTCAAAATTAAATACCTCACCTGCAGCAAACCTGCAAAGTGAATTTTAATTTGCCTGATTGGATTTGAACTCAAATGTAACTTGAACATGTCATATTTGTCGCTGTTTAAATAACAGTGCATCTAATGATCACCTAGGTTTGCTGATACAGGGAAGGAAACAATTGTTTTTTGTTAAACGTAATAGTATAGTATCAGAGAATAAATTTGCGATATTTGATCAAAATATTATTATAAACAAGCCAATTACAACAGTTTACTTTTTCTCCATTAGAATAACATGGGATCTTAAAATGCACAATTTCATTTTATTTTCTCCTCGACCTTTAATTCTACAATAACGCTTCGATATACAAAATCATTTATTCTCTTAAGTTCTATGGTTTTAATGAAAGTGTATCCAGCCATACACGTTCATGCCAAATTTAATCAAAATGAGGTTATAACGATATATTATACCGTAATCATGTAAAAATTGTAACCTACCCGGCTACCAATTCTTCAACAAAAAAAAACTTAAATCATTAAAGAAAACAACAAATAAAATTTCCATTTAAAGTCAAATTATTACTGTAACACTTAAATTGCAAAATAGTAGCTTTGGGAACGCAAAGGATCAATAAACACAAACATATCGATAAACTATAAATTCAGTTTAAAACTATTTGAATTGGAATGTTAAGATCTCGCAATAATATTACAAATGTTATGTGTTGGCTTAAAAGAGGTCGAATAGTAGGGAGAAGCTATAAGATGTCGAGGTAAAATAAGAACATCATATATTTTTATTGTAACTATAAAACAAAACATCTTGATCGTGTCGTATTTTAAGCGTCACATATTTCCTTACATGTTTAGATATTTAATGGAGTTTTCAAATTGATATCGATGTATTGATGTATATTGATATATACTGATGTTTCTATGGATAAATATGTAGGAGGTTTGATACATTCTGAAAACTAACACGGGGGTTTCTGTTTCTGAGTTTTAATGATGTGAAAATTCCTTAAAAGTAATAAATATCTGACTATATTAGTAATACCACAAATATTTTATTTAAGTTTTTGACTTATTTAATTAAATGTTTTCAGCGTTGAATCTTGTATTCTTTTGTCACAAGAATGAAATATATATATGAAAGAACGAGGTGTTAGCCCGTCCTACGTACGGGAATTCAGAAGTCAGTTAAAACCGTGTACAATTCAGATCGGCTAGTTTACACATATAGACAAAGTTTCTTGCAGTTTTAATGTGAAAAATCATCTTGTAAACAAATGTTGTGTGACCAAATCTGTTTTTATTCCATCATGATAGGCCTATACGATATGCATTTTAAATCCGATAATTTTACAATAAAACAGCAATTCTGCAATTTTTACGACGTGAATAGTGTTGAAGTGAGATTTGCAGCCGATTCGTACAGACGCACATTGATTATAAGTAGCCTACGGTCGTGCCACCTTAGCATATACCTGCCTCTTCCATAATTATTATCACCAAAATACAACTACTATACACAATTTCCAGTAGGTCTGAATAGAAAAGACCTTAAATAAAACGACAGTATCCAATAAAATTCACAGTACACATAATTTAACTTTGATGTCCTAACATCAAAACTAATCGACACTTTATATCAATTTCATTGCATTAATTGCTTAATAAATAAATGTAAACAAATAAAAGTAAAAACAATAACAGTTTGTTTTGAAACAGCTTTTTAGTTCAAATAACATTCATTTTAAAAAAGAACTGGTCACATGTAGCAGGAATATAAAAAGTAAACACGCTAGTAAAGCTAATGACGTAATTGTCAATGTTTATTATCCATACCGTTATCAGTTCTATCATTGATAATTACTCACCCTCGCCTCATTGAATAAATACATCGTACATCTCCCATATTAGTTAATTTAAACTACAATATATTCATAGTTGAAATAAAAGTTATATTTTCACGTTCGGGGGCGCTGATATAGGCGCCCCTAAACGTAGCCACAACTGAACACGATTTCATAAAAGGATGGTTTGTCTAATTGCAGTATCCTAGGTCAATGTTGACGTTGTGTTCAATCTATGTCATCCATCTGTTTATCTTTGTATAAAACCCGGCTGAGGTTGTGGTGGTAATTTAAAATCGTGATTCCTGACTATTCTTGATCTTCTTTTTATGACATCAATATTTCCGGGCCTAATCCAAACAAAGTTAAAGCAGACAAACGTTAATTGTAAACAAAAAGCTACCATTAAGAATTAAAACATGTAAACATTGTTATTTTTCCAATCTTTCCTTGAAAAGTGGAGCAGTAAAATAATTTGCATTTATCCTTTTTTATTAAGACTCGTGTACAGAGCCTCAATTTGTACTGTGGTTTAATTAATTTTGGTTAAAACTGTGGTTTCTGTGGTCTAACTATTTCTACTAATCTTACTTATTTCCTATAATCAATGACAAAATAAGAGTAAATAAAATAACCTCATAGTTCCATAGTTTTTATTTAACCAGCTGCTAGTTAAAACAAATTATATTGCTCTAAAACGAATCGAAGATTACAAAGATTGCTTTAAAAATAATTTGAACATCCTAGTATTTTACTATGTATATTAATCTTAATTTTTATTTAATTAATCTGTCATCCTCTTACAGAAGAATTGAACGTATCAATGATTAGCATTACACATAGTATAAATAAGTCAACCCTAAATATGTCTTTACATTTTTATCCAAATGCTGAATTTCTGACACAAAAGCTGAATGTTTACAGCTGTTATGTTAAGAAAATTATTTTATGCGAAAAGCTAGTTTAGAATCTTAGCGTCGGCTGCTAGACTTTTTAAAAATTAAAACTTAATTTCTAAAAAACTAAAACCCTAAACTAAAATTATGGCTTCGACATTCCCTAGTTCTTAAAATTATCTTTCTTTCAACACAAAAATCATGAAAATCCGTCGAGTGGTTGATTCAGAATCGTGAAATAAAAAAACACTGTTTCGTTTTAATATTATATAGAAGATGTTTTTTATTTCTGAAAATTACAGTAACAACAATAAATAACACAGTTTTCAATACTCCAGCATCAACGTAAAGTATATACATTATAAGTACAAAGGGGTTTACATACATAACTTTTTAGTAATTATAGATAAAAATATACAGGTTATGCAAATCAATATTAAATAAACTTATATTAAAAACAATAATTTTAACTATAAGCATTAATGGTAATTAAGGAATCATTTTCACAAATTGAAAGTGATACTATACGCTAATTATCACAAGTAAACTAATCTTCTTTACTGTATACAAATTTTAAGTACATATGGTTACGAAAAATTTTGATTCATTACTAAATTTAATTACATGCGTGTAAATGATTGTCTAAACGTTTCTGAGTCGATATAGTGCTCGCCTTGCAATCAGAGGGTTGCCAGTTCAATCTTAAAAAGTCAGAAGATTTTTGATGGTTCTAAACTAAAACACGATGTCCTTGATTTTCTATAGCTTTCCCCTACTAAAATGTACTCAACTATTTAGACGCCATACAGAAATAATTTGTTTTCCTGTAAATGGTGAATCTGTTTACAAATTATGTTTACAACTAAATAGTGGGAATTTAATTGAATACTATAGCGTTCCTGTTGCTCGAATTTGAGCGATTGCGAAATATTACAGTCATTATTTTTAAACGAAAAATAGTCATAATTTCTGATGACTTTAAAAGAGCTGACTCAAAAATTATGGAAATAGTCACCATGTACATAACAGTTCGATATAATAAACATTTCTTGTAAATATCAATCATTTTTCAAAAGCTGATCTTGTTTTTTGTGTTTTCTACAAATGTCTCCCACTCATAGCCACATAAGGTTGTCCATAATAACGATTATAAAAAAAAAATAAAAAAAAACATTATTTCTATTTCTTTTAGTTGGTGGTGTTCCATGACTTTCCTATGTTTCTACGGTTTGCAAATTGGCTCTTTCAATGATTGATCAAGAAATGCAACAAAGTGTTAATTCAATTTTATTTTTATTATAGCAAATTGTCCAGGCTTTCTCGCTTTTTCACTGGAATATTTACGCCAACCCAAATTCAAATAGTAAAAATTTCATTTCAACCATTTCAGTAAATGTTAAAACATGTTTCCTTAAATTGCAACTAAAATATTAACAGCAATTAAGTTATCCAGTTGATCATAATGTAAACAAATATGTTCTTCATAAGGATAACATGGTAACTTAAAAAGCCACTAGGGCATAGCCCAAGGGACTTGATTAAAAATGTAAGGCCAGTTTGCAAATCTACACACCTAGGTGAACATTTTGGTATTTAATATGTGGGGTTAAATCTTAAAACAAAAAAACCTTATTGTTTACGAAGTTTCATGTAGCTTATTAATAACATAGATAGATACATGTTATATAGTAGATGCTCCTACTGAGCCATTAACCACCTCCCCTTGTGTAGGGTTGTGGCTGTGCTTCCTATCTACGTATCCTGGACCAGTGGAAGGATTCGGGACAGACTTCAGCGCCAATGTCTCTCGCACCCTGGACAACCTCCTGGCTGGCGGCAGATACGACAAGAGGATCCGGCCTAACATGGGAGGTAGGGAAACTACAGTCTGTATGCTGGAACCTGTCTCCTGGCCACCCGTCCACCTGGGAGTTGGCCAATGGTTTCAGGTATGGGATAGTCCCAGGTAGACGGATGGTCAGGACTCAGGAGACAGGTTCTGTCATACAGACTATGCTAGTAGTGAATTCAACAAATAGTCTGTACGATGGAATGTGTTTCCTGACCCTCCATCTGGGGACTGGCCAATGGTTTTAAGAACCAGGTTTTTTAGTGGGACAGTCCCAGGTAGATGTAGGAGTCAGGTTTCATCATACAAACTATAGTATACGTACAATATACTATACAGTATACTATAGTAGTAGATATGCAAGGGTATTGTAAATTTATTTTTTTTAATCCGTTTATAGACAACGCCATTTCGGCATAATATAATATTTTAGCATGGTTGAAGATTTTAAGTAAATTTTAACTCCTCAACCTATTGAGACTGCTAGATTTGTTTGTATAGTTTTCGCAATGAGCAGCAACTATTTTCTATGTATTACGATTTCCACCTTAATACAAATGCACAAATATTTAATTCTTGATTTGATTTCGCACTGATTAGGTTAACCTGTCGTTTGTCTTTTTTGTTAAGGATATGAAGATTTAACACCTCACCCTAGAATAAAAATGATCCCTTTGTAAAACAATTGTCGAGTATCACAAGCCAATTTGTGTAACAGGCTACAATTATTTTCATTTTAATAAAATCATTCCAATTCAAAATTCACATAACATAATAGTAGTTTTTAAATTCATAAAACTTATTTTATTTACATAAGATTTTAAATGTATTGTAGTGTAAACGTGGTATGTATTCGTAATTAAGTGATAAATAATTATACTAATACTCCAAGGCCAGGCAAATAACTCAGCTGAACCAAATAAAGCTTCTTTATTTATATTAGGAGTTGTCAGTATAAACTTGTCATCAGATGGATGACGCATGTGACGTCTTATACTGATGATAATGTTTACAGGGCCACCAATAGTGGTGTCTTTTACATGCAAGTAAGAGCTTCTAGCCGATATCTGAGACCCGTGAGTTCTATATGACTTTGTCATCTGATAGATAATGTATGTGATGAATGATGATTATGACTGATGATAATGTTTGCAGGGCCACCAATAGTGGTGTCTTTTACATGCAAGTAAGAGCTTCTAGCCGATATCTGAGACCCGTGAGTTCTATATGACTTTGTCATCTGATAGATAATGTATGTGATGAATTATGATTATGACTGATGATAATGTTTGCAGGGCCACCAATAGTGGTGTCAGTTAACATGCACATAAAGAGCTTCGGGCCGATATCTGAGACTGCTCAGGTAAATCTGCATAGTTTGTAAGTAAAAAAGACCTCCAATTAAAAAAACTTGTTTTGGGAATTCTAGTCGGTTTATTAATGCAATACTAACGTATTTATGTACTTCAAAGCATTTATCTTTCCCAAAATAGATGTTAAAATCACGGTTACACCTTTCTCATTCATTTATGCTATTTTGTTTAACTAAAATCAACTTTCAGACGAAAATGGTTTATATTTCGTGGCATATTTTTAATAAGAAAATTATGATAACCAAGAACTTAGTGGGTTTTGAATTTGAAAAATCATGTTTCGTATAGGGAGATGAAAGTAATCCAGCATTTTTACAGATGCTGTAATATTTTTTAGAGCAAGACTTGGTCACCAAGTACTTGTTTTAACAATTATCTAGGTAACCTTACAAATTTTATGACATTATTTTGAATATAAAATGTTTTCTCGTCTTCATTCACCGACCGTTATTTTTACCTCTTGCCTAACCATTCCTCCCTGAATAAACTCTCCAGTTTTTGCCGCCATTTGTTGTGAACAGCTGGTCCATTCGAGTGACAAACGGGCCGTCGTCGTCGCGGGATTATGAGCTGTGAGGTTATATCGAATGTTACGTATGAGTTACGCCTCAACTACACGTGTTTGTTTAGTCTGAAGTTATTGACCGTTCATCGTTGAAACGCGTATAACTTTTGTTTTTATGAATGAACATATTTACGGCGTACTGTATCGTTGTTTCAGACAGTAGATGTTGAGTAACATGTATTTGCAACACACGTTAGGGAATATAAAAACAATATAAAACACACAGAGTCGTAAATAGTTAAATTCAAACGTGTTTGGTAATTTCAATTTCCCTCCCTATTAATATTATATGCAATATGCTCCCACCGCTTACCTATTATAAGGGTTGTTGACAAGCTAAAGGAGGAAGTATGTGTAAATTTGCTGATACTGTTTATTGTTATTTTCTTCACTACTGGATCGGTTCTCTGCTAGATAACTGTAATTTTGCATCTAAACATAGCTTCACGACACAATAGATCAAACATACTTCATTAAGAGTACCCGTAAAGGGAGTATGCATCCTTTATGACGACACTTTCCAACCCAGGAACCAACAAGTGTATCTTGTGAGAACAAACGATGGAAGTCTACGTCTACGTCCTTCATTATCTACTACTTACAAACTGGGACGGGTGGCGTCGTCCTGTAATCCAGCTACTAGGAGGCTACGAATTGTGGATATTTATAGGCATGCATAGTGGATGCGATACTCCCTGGTGTGGATTAACGTCCGCACGAGTGAGTACTACGACTATCCGCAGTGCTATCCAGAAAATTAGACCAATTCGTATATACCAAGGCAAAAATGTGTTTCGGACTCCACTATAAACTGTAGGTCCCTTAGTTGCCTTTAGCTGTACGGGCTATTTAACATCTGTGTCTAAGAAATGTCGGTCTTAGTCACTAACAAGACTACAAGATCGCGCCACTCATCCTACACTCATCTCCATTCATACTTGACTTAAAATACCTACTTTGTATGGTCGCCATTTCATTGTAAAGTATTAAAGTATTCTATCAATAGTCAAAGATTGTGCAAAGTGTCTGTAAGTTCTAACACCCTCTACGCTCCCCAGTCGTACACTATGGATGTCTACTTCCGCCAGACCTGGTACGACTCGCGGCTCCAGTACAGTTTGCCGGGACTCCACGAGTTCTCAATGTCCTGGCTGTTCTTGGATAAGGTTTGGAAGCCTGACACGTACTTCATGAATGGCAAGACGTCTCATCTGCATCGCATCACCTCGCCAAACAAGTTCCTCAGACTCAGACAGGATGGCTACATAGTGTACTCTATGAGGTAAAGCACTGGATGTTAGAATTGCGAGACGTTATCCGCCATTTGTACTAGGGGATAGAATACATTTATTATCGTCCCACCAACAAAACTAAAAAAAAGTCATCCTAATACGCTAGGTTCTAGCCCGCAACTGTTTTACACATTACTTCAGACATAGAGATCAAATCCATTAGTCATTGGTGGGATTTGAACCCGAGACGTCGAACTCCGATGCCCCGCGCTCTACCACTAGACCAGCTCGCTCCCCTCAGGATAGAGTTCATTGTACTTAGTAAATTTTAACTGGGGATTGTGGGGTTGTACAGCCATAAGCCAATGAGATGATTACCCTCAATTATTGGTACCAACCTAACAAAATTATAGCGTGTTTATTTTATAACAGAGTTGCCGTGTCAGTGCTACGTCTAATTGTATATTTAGGTCGATGAGGGTTATAAGATCCTGTACAGTAACATTATTTAGAATAGCTATCAAATAGACATATTTGCTTTGTGAAATCGTTGGGAGCGACTGTAGAGTGGTTACGGCCCCGGCCTTCTGTCTATGATGATTAGGTTTAAAGCCTGTCAATTACAAATGGGTTTGCTATGTTCATCCATGTAGGTTATGTGGCATTGGACGCGTTCTGGGAACATGTATTGATGCAACCAGGGCCGGGGATAGTAGCTGAGGATGCACCGGTGCAGATGATCCGGTGACTTACCATCACATCTTTTTATGGTCGAAGATGAAGAGATGGACGAAGATGTGGACGTACCTTGTACGAATTGATTCTCAAATTGTAAAGGAAACTTATTATCTGTCCTTGGATTGTACTTGATTGCTTAAAAATTGTGCTACAAAGTAAGTGTAGAACGTACTGTAAGTTTAATCAATCAATGGTCTGGTAAAAATCCCTTTTAATACAGTATACAACTATATCAAGTATATAGTAAATAACTCAATAAAGGTTCGATAAAGTCCATTTGACAAATAAACCTTTACACAGTCTATTGATTATTGATGTATTATCTGGTAAGCTAGTGCTCACTTAAGCTAATTCTGAGACATTTTAACGCACTTCATTTAAATTCTCAGCCAATTTAAGGCGGAAGAACTGACAATTTAAGTTGGTAAGAAAGGGTAAAGGATGTTCCATTAAAAATTAGAATGTGCCAAAATAACCAGTACTAAATTTGTCATATTATTCTTTATCAATACTGTTTTACCTCATTCCAACTTCACCCACAGGTAGTTTGTTTGGCCTCTGTTTAAAACTCCTTTTCGAAACGGTTTTATTTAGTAATAATCTTATTATATTATTTTACATAGTAAGCTAAATATGATGGAAATGTGTTTTAAACTTTTTATTTTTTTTCTACGCCAGTGGCATTTCACAAGAGAGTTACGAGAGAATAAATGTTTAGTATTTGTAAATGTTATTCAACAGATTATGGAGCTATGATACTTTTAAGTGGTCGATTTTTTATCGAATTTAGCTATAATCGTTTCCAAATGTACACCGGATTATACCAATCCTAAATTATTTGATGATAACCATTTCAAAACACGTTGCATTCAGCCACTTCGTTAATCTAACATGTCACAAAGACAAATTTACAAATAAAAACCCCCTTTGAACAGAAAACGTTTAGAATGCACACTATAGTGATGCAGCCTCAACATTCAACTAATGTTAATGAGAAAACAATTTAAAACCAACATAATTGCTGTTTAAATGTATACATGAAAATCAAAAGCTTGATTAGGACCAACAGCAAATGATCACTAATTTCATGATTACATTATTCAGACTGACTATATCAGCACGCTGCAAGATGCATCTAAGGAAGTTTCCCATGGATACACAACGATGCCCTCTGCTTATAGGAAGTTGTGAGTATTCATGTTAAAATTGTACTATGCTTTCGGCTCAAATTTTGATTCTTGAGAGACGTAGTAGACAATTAAATACTGTAACAGTAAAGCTGTTTACACTCTGTTCAATATGAAATCAATTCAATTGTTGTAAAAAAAAAAAAAAAAAAAAAAAGTAATTGCTTTATCTCTAAGACCTGTAATACTTTCTCTTTGTAGGTTGATACAAAAATCATGTAACAATATTGTATACAAAAGATTATCAATTCAACACTTCATAGGTCATCTCAGAATAGTGTTAGAAAATATTTTCCAATCAAATAATTCAATTTTTAAAGTCTATGTGGGTTGTTTAAAGATATAAGTGAACAGACGACCAATAATTGTAATATAAAGGTTAACACGAAGAAACAACCTACTACGGTAACTGACTATCGAACAGAAACTCAAACTATGTTTTTTGCCGATAATCTCTTGTCATGATGCTAATGGACTCCGATTCAGCCATGGAGTATATTAAGTATGGAGAATATATATGGAGTAGCGATGAAAAAAAAACAATAGTATTACTTGATCACATTCTTTGAGCAACTGTAATCAAATCAATCCACAGACGGTTACAGCTCCAACGAAGTGATGTACGAATGGTTGGATCTGACTGTAGAGCCTGGACTGGAGTTGTCTCAATACGACTTGGCCAACATTACAGTCGTGCCTCACAGCAAGTTCATCAGGAACGTAGGTCAGTGTTGTAGTAGATTAGATTATACAGTATAAGGATGAACATCTAAGATTCATGAGTGAAATGTTAAATTGATAAGATGATAGCTTTATTACTGGCTAAAATCATCTGGTTCTATAGCCAAAACTATTTATCTGAAGTCCAATGCCCAAGGACAGCTGGGTACAATAAATGCACTATAACAAAAATCGATCATCAGCCTTTTAAGGGACACTGAATTAAGAACCAGCATCCTTGCTGATCGAAGGGCATAGCCTAAAGAGAAATTTGATTACTTCATTAGCTTCACAATCACAGCACATTTCTTGTCGAGGTTAATGCTGTACTTACTTACTACTGAGGCCTCGTAGATTAGCCTCCTTCACTCTGCTCTATCCTCCTCCATCCGGATTTAAAATTCGCACTGGATCACATCCTTCTTGACTTTGTCATACCATGTTAATTTATGATTGCCTAACGGACATCTTCCTGTAGGTACGGTCTCACAAACCTCCTTCACTTTTGTATTGTAAACAGAATTTAATGCTTAGGCCTATCTATTGTAGAAAATCTAACCTGTAGTTTTTCTTAACAATGGGATTTTCTTTTATCCTACCTTCAAATCCTTTTTCTTAACGATGGGATTTTCTTTTATCCTACCTTCACATCCTAGGATGCTAGGCTCCAGCCCGGGACCGTGACCGTTTTACACTTTACTCAGTCAAAGCCTTATCACTAAAAGGGTCACAACATCACATGGGGTAGATTATATTAGATTTTGTGACGCCTCCACATTAGGGTGCATAAGGTGAAGAAGAGTGAATTATTAGCTAGATTCGTGCGTAAAGAAATTTTTCACCCATCCCACACCTTTAACATAATTGATACACCCGATTTCATAATCAAAATAGTCATAGTCAAATACACCAGAAGGTTTTTTTTGTCAAATGACGATATTTATGCTTCAGGAGAGTTCTCCATGATCAAGGCAAACTTCCTACTCCGCCGTAGCATCGGCTACTATGTCCTCCAGATGTACGTCCCTTGTTGTCTCATCGTCTGCTGCTCCTTCGTCTCTTTCTGGATTAACCCGGATGATGTTCCCGGTAGAGTCACGTTAGGTAGGAAAACCTCTCATTAGTTTCCTTAATTACTATTAATTCTATATTGGTCATAAATAATACCACTGTCAATGCTGCTACCAGTTTTGCATATAAAAACGTATTTGAACCGAACCAAAGACAAAGTGTGCTGACGTAAAACAGATTCTACTGGGTTGCACACAAATTTTTCGATGGGGCCAAAAATTATATACAACAATTGATAAACTATAGAATCTTCTAGAGAGAAAAGAGGAATTTTGACAGTAGCAGACCGAGTTGGGGAAAAACCTCCACAACTGTTCTCATAGAATGTATACTCGTTGTCTATGTTAACAGTGTCAGCGAACTGTATTTGAAGTCTCGGAGACGCTGCACTTCTACATCATCAGATCAGATCCAGTAGAAACCCCACTACACAAGCTTATCCATAACCTGTTTTGACCACTAACTTTGAAACCTTGAATGTTAAAGAGTACTTTGTTTAGTACTTTCACTACTGCATCTTTACCTAATGGATATCTGCAACATTTCAAAACAGGACAAATACAGCTCAACGTGACGGTCCAACACAGAAGGCAACAAAAATACATCCAGTAGCAAACCCTAACACATGTATGCAAAAAATCATCTTAGAATAAACATATGGTCTATGGATGGACAATTTCACTGATATCCAAAAACAATGGTAGTCTGTATGATGGAACCCTGACCCTTCGTCTACCTGGGACTGGTCCGAGCCTTACACCATGGTCCCCAGTCCCATGTAGATGGTTGGCCAAGAGACAGGTTCCATCATACAGAGTATACTAGCTCCAATATATTTTTCTCCAGCGGCCACAACAGTCTTGTCAATCACAACGTTGGGGTTCGTGGGTCGTGCCGCACTGCCAAAGGTGAACTACGCCACAGCTCTGGATTGGTTCGTCATTCTCTGCTTCGCCACCGTGTTCGCCGTCCTGGTGGAGTACGCGGTCATCAACTTCATAGACAAGGTGCGCGTCGACATCCAGCGACTGCTGGAGGATCGCAAGAAGCTAAAGGAGCTGAAGGAGGCTCTCAAGGTGCATATTATGTGTAGCAAATGTAGAATAAGTTTGAATTAATATGAAAGCGACTAAATATGGACATTGAGGTCAACAAACAAAGTTATGATCAACTTTAGTTAGTTTAGTATTGAACGTTTTTACCCCAGGAAGCTAGGCTTAAGTCCGGGATGGGTTTTCACATTACTTCAGACTAGAACTCGAGTTTGCGGCATTATCACTTAAAAAAGCCATTGATGATTTGGGGGGATTTTAACCCAGGACCTCAGGGGCCGAAGTCCCACCCTCTATTAGTCCAGCTCACTTCCCAGTACCACTATTGAATGCTTGTGGCTATAATTTCCCAGAGAGAATTGTTGATATACTAAATAATTTTAATTGGGTTTAGCATATCTCATCTTGGTAAACATTTGATGCGACTCAACTAATTTGTTTTCTTTCACCTTGTGAACTTTCTTTCGGATACTTTTGTATCATATATTGCCAAAAAATATGTAAATATTTGCCGAATATGTAAGCTTCATCGTATTATTTTGAGCTAATAATCCAGATTTTGATGAATCGTGACTATCGCACTGTCTCATGATAGCAATACCTCTGGATTACCAATGCGACTACGGTAACAATTTTCCAATTTTTTATACCACACAGATCAGTAGTCTATGGTTATAGACAGTTAAGTTTTAAGACAGAACAAGAGATATTTAAATAATTGTCATAATTCAACTAACTACTTATTCTAGGAAGAATCAGGCGCTGAAGAAAGCGAAGGAGAAATCCTCGACAAAGACCTGGAAGAGGAAACTAAGCTTCCAGAGATCGCAGTACCCAAGATTCTGATGACCTACGAGATGGAGGACTCCGACGTTGGCGACGCGGGAGGAAGTAGTGACGAAGACCTGGACTCCCTGAAGGTGGAGCATCTTGCAGTCCCTATCCAGGAGGCAAAGCTGAAGGTGACCAGAAGCTTCTCTGTGCCGACCATCACCAAAGGAGAGTACAGGTTCGACCAACCACGCCTTGTGCAGGACACTCACATAGACATCTTACTGGACCAGAACCAATCACCACAGGCTGCAAGGTACGACGTTAACAGTGCGATGATTCAGATTTAGCCATCAGGTTAATCCATTTGGGTACCATACAAAATGATTGGTGATATGTTACTCCTCGAAGAAATGCTGGTAACGTACTCAAAATAATGCTAGGACATGACTAAAGTAATGCTTAGTATTTCACTAAGCTCCATCCCAACGGCTCAATGATTGAATCAAGATACTTAGTTGATTATCTTGTGTGATGTAGTGGTTTTTGATTAGTCTGTTTGGGGGGATTCCAGGACCAAATGTTAAAATACTTTTACGATCCATTGATTCCAGAGTAACCTTTCAGAGTATACGATAAGACATTGGTACGACTTATGCCATTCATACCCAACAACCCCCACTGGTGGGGATGACACCTGTCGTTCTGGTGCCAACATAGTAGTTTTGTAAACTATTTCAAGACTGTAATTTATCAATGGTTGAACTTAATTTGCATAATTTCAGGAAATACATTTATAATCATTTTACACTTGATACTACCAGCACTGATTTCATACAACTAAACGGATCGGTCAAAACATCTCCAATAAATTCGTGCTTTGAGGTAAAAAATATTCGATCTACTTCTCCCACCAACGACTTGAGCTGGCCTCTCCTTGACGTCACTATGCAGAGCAGTTTGACGGTAGAGCACCTTAAAAATAGATAACCTTGACGCCAGAGCACCTTGATGCCATAGCATTTTTTTATCACACCTCCAGAATAGTTTGAGCACAGTCCTTTGCTTCCAGGATCACCCTTCGCAGCACGTTGCTGATCCCTGTCAACCTCTGGCGTAACTTGAGGATCCTCCCGACGGAGGAGGAAGTCGCTGCTACGACAGAACCTCCTGACAAGTTCTCCAAGATTGACATATACTCCAGGATGCTGTTTCCTCTCATGTACACCCTCCTGTTGTCCGGATACGTTGTCGTCTACACGTACTATGTGGTCGACGACAAGGAACGATACCTTCACGACACCTACAAGTGAAAATCTCTGAGAAGCAATTACAGAGTGTACAAGAAATGTAAATAAATTATATACAAAAAGTATGCAAAGAAGGTAGTTAACGTGTAGTTATGATAACACTAACAAAGGGATTGACTTTTGGCTGTTTCATCAAAATCTAGTAAGTGGTATTATAGTGTGTATAATGGGACCTGACTTTTGACAGATTAATATGTTTTAGGTAAATATTATGTAAGTTATACATGTACAGTCATTCAAACATAAATCATTCAATTTACTAAAGTTTTCAATAGATTATTGGTTGGTCTCTTCAGTTTAATAACACATTACTTTTTCAAGTAACAAACACTAGTTTACTGAACGTTGAAAGGTACGCATATGAACAAATCGCTTGCAGCACCATTAAAAGTTGCAATTGAATCATGCTGTGAAAGGACATCCCCTATAGTCCACACAAATATTACATTTATGACACTTCATATTGGTTTATAAAATTGTTTACCTGAAATAGAACGGCAAATACAGAGAATCACAAGTTATTATTCATTTCTATAAGGTAAGTGTATCAAACACATATCTGCATTATATGATGAATCTAGACTAAAACCTAGGGAGACTTGTTGACGTGAAGTTTTCTGATTTATGTTTGTCATTCTGTTTGTTAACTTTTCGGGAAGTTTGACAGTAACAGGTATTCTGCAGAATTATACAGTCAAGAGCTTAAAAATACTCCTTAAAAAAAACATAACTTCGAATACTACATGTCATATTGTAAGAAGAAAACAAAAGTATGTGCAGTAGAGTCAAAAACTTGGCTTATTTCAAGAGTCTTTTAAACAAGTTTTCCACATGAACCTGTGCCAAAAGTTTGATATGTATTTTGAAATTAAAAATATTATATCTTGCACGTTTATAGAAATAAACTGTATCATAAACCTGACAAACCTATTCTTCTTTGCCATAAACCCAGTCCAATATTATCTGCCATTTTGGAAAAAGCTACGTTTTAACAATGGTTTTAATCACACTTACAAATAACAAATAAATATATCTAACAATTGTTATATCGCCCGCCATATTTTAATTAATCGAGTGTTTTGCGATGTATTATTGTTAACAGGTAATATTTATGAGCCGTTAGTTTGACATTGTTGTAGATGGGTTGTTATTTTACGAGTTGTTTATGCCATTGTTATTTTTCACGTTTTTTTATGAAGGAAATGTCGAACCCCTGGTCTTATAAGTAAGATAGTAATCTTACTTCAACCTTTTGTCAGAAAGCATCAACCTCAATTACACATGGCATCTGGATCTGGTAACGATCTCGCTTAGAGTCAAACCAGTGATCTTCAGATTTGAAGGCGAGCTCTACAACCACTATACTCGGCTGATGTAGTTTTACACCTGACATTCACAAGTAAAGGCTTAACCAAGTTACAAAAGCACGATAATCTATGTTATTTTTATAAACCTGGCGTTGGTATATTTACTGTAGGGTTGGCATGACTGATATTCTTATCGATAGAACGTCAACCAATGCTCCAGGGTTAACGCTTGTCATTTATACGCCTTGGGTAACACAGAATGTAACGTCATTTACAGGGTGGGGTGAAAGTTTCATCTGCATTAAGTTATCTTATGTTGTAGAAAAAGCAAATAATCAGTTATTAATATGACAAAATATTAAGTAGTTATTTTGGTGGATTTAAATTAACGTGAGTGTGAATATAACTATTATACAAACCTATTTAGATTAATTAAGTAATAAGTGATATATATATAAACACCCTCGCCGCAGCAAAAGTGCACACTAAGCGAATTTCCATTTGTCTGCTTTGATTTTCACAAATCTATTTAACTAGCATTATGTTAAACGAGAAGCTAGGTTTGCAGCTACAAGGAGTGTAAAAGTGTGTTTTTAGTAAAATATTAATAGATTAGTATTAAATAAGTAAATTTGCCAATTTTTTTCAAAATATATGCATAAACAAGCAAACTAAAACAGTTTATTATCCTCCATAAGAATAAAATGGGCATTTTTTAATTTACCATTTTTTTTTAGTTTTTTCCGTAACCAACAACAGCACTAAAACACTTTGACAAACCAATTTTTTTACAGTGCTTTATATTTTAGCCTTATATGCATTAGTGGAATGCTAATTTTAACTTACTTTTCGTCCATTCGACAACGTAACTGCTAATAAAAATTAGATTTCCTTTGACAACATAAAAAATTGTTACAAAATAGTTATATTTAATAAACAATAAAATATCAAAGAAAAACAAATATTACAAAAACTATTAAATTTATAATTTTCCCTCCTCAAAGCTTACAGTATATAAAGACAACCCTGTAACATCAATGTTAAATTTTACAAACTTAAGGTAATACTATAATCTTCAAAATATTATATTTCTTATTTTATATTTATTTTATAACCATTTTGAAGAACGCAGTAGGTTTTATAAGAACCGATACTCGAGTTTAGCTCTATGGCCCATCAAACATTTAATGCCACATAAACAATCTATCAGGATATAGTGTCTATCTAACCGCACTTAATATTTAATAGCCAAGGACAGTCCGTTGTCAAAAGAATACTGCTCGCATCTTACAACTTTTCAGTCTAAAATATCAAACGATTATAGATATTTTCTTAAGAAAATGCATTTGTGTATATATTAATGTTAATTCTTTGAAATTTTTTTAAGTATCCGTTTCAGTTCAGTTATTAGCATAATTGAAAAGTTTCACATAACAGCATTGTTTTCTTTCATAACAGCATAGTTTTACTTATAAAAACACGGTTAAAGGAACTATGAGGTTCAAGGATTGAGAGAGAAGAAGTAAAATTTTAATGATTCGAACTTCAACTAATCAGCTGTTTGCCAATTCAATAATTAATTGTTGATGATTGGTACAACTAGTATTGGTACAATGAGTCGTTGCATCACTGTTAGTGGCAATGCGAGGTTATAAACGAAAACATAACCTCTCTTAGAACTGACTAGTGATTATTAGGAATTAAAAAAACTCGCCAAGACTCGTACCTTAAATTTCTACTCGTGTCGTTAACAATATCTTTACACGATCGTTGTGTAAACTACTATTTTTAGTTACTACTTATAGACAATTATATTAAAACTAGTGTCCCTGTTGCTCGAAATCGAGCAATTGCTAAGTATTACAGGCGTTATTTTAAACGAATAACAGTCATAATATTTTATGACTTTAAAAAAGATTCGACTCAAAGATAATGGAATACTCAAGATGTACTTAACAGATCGATATAATCAACATTTCTTGTAAATATCTTATAATTTTTCAAAAGCTGATCTGGTTTTTTAGTGTTTTCTACAAATAGCCTTTTTTTTAACAGAGGGCCAGGCTTACAAGTTACCATGGGATTGCATCGCAGCTAGAACAGCTTATTGTGCACCCTCGTTCACAGGTCCTCATTCTCCGTCAAATCCCAGGTCCTTGGTGAACCGTGAGAGCCTCTTGACTATGGTGACCTGTTCTTCCCTTTGATCTCCCATCAATAGGCCAAGGGATCTCATACGCAGACCTTGTAGGGCTGGGCACCTAAATATACCTTCACAGCTTTCACAAGGTCTCTGGCTGGGGCAAGCCGTAGCGAGATTTCCCTGAGAGGACTCAGCTCCTGAACTTGCTTGACCAGCCAATCCTTTGTGGCTGCGTCAGCACAGCCTCCACCTTCTTCCTGGAGGCTTCATTAGAGTCAGCTTTGGGGGTACCACCCTTGCCCTGCTTTTTCCCAGCATCCTAGTTCCCGGAGGAACTGGCTTTGCAGGCAGCAGAGTTAGGGTGCTTGGCAGCCCACACCAGCCTCCTCTCACTTCTGGATAGCACCTTTTCGCCTTTGGCTAAAGCATCCGCTATCCTCCGTCTTTGCAACTCACCCCTGGAAAGTCGTTTTTCGTACGAGGGATCTCATACGCAGACCTTGTAGGGCTGGGCACACAAATATACCTTCACAGCTTTCACAAGGTCTCTGGCTGGGGCAAGCCGTAGCGAGATTTCCCTGAAAGGTTTCAGCTCCTGAACTTGCTTGACCAGCCAATCCTTTGTGGCTGCGTCAGCACAGCCTCCACCTTTCTTCCTGGAGACTTCATTAGAGTCAGCTTTGGGGATACCACCCTTGCTCTGCTTTTTCCCAGCATCCTAGTTCCCGGAGGAACTGGCTTTGCAGGCAGCAGAGTTAGGGTGCTTGGCAGCCCACACCAGCCTCCTCTCACTTCTGGATAGCACCTTTTCGCCTTTGGCTAAAGCATCCGCTATCCTCCATCTTTGCAACTCGCCCCTGGAAAGTCGTTTTTCGTTCCTTTCCGGTTTCTGCGAGCTTGTCGTCATCGTCACATTTCAGTAGACTTTCCTCCTCCATTTGGGTCAGACTGTCTACATTGTTCTCACGAATACCGGGTATTTAAGTCCACCTCCCCAGTGACCCGATTAGAGAGGTAAGGGGTGTGTACGACTGGGTTACCCCTGGTTCCCAGAAGGCTCCGTTAAGACACTAAATATTAGGCCCCCAGTGCCACAAGACTCTTGGCACGGATCGCATTACACCTTAGTCTAGGGCCCCCCTCACTTGGTTCTGTAGGTGGACCAACACCCAGTGGCAGAAGGTAGCTCTCCGCAGCTAACAAGTGAGAGTTGGGGTTTAGGTTGTGGCCAATCTGCCGAACCAACCCCGCATGCGAGGTTTGGCCGGAACGGCACGAAATTTTCTCCCACTCACTAAAACCCCCATACCTTCCTACAAATAGCCTTGCTCATAGCCGCTTTAGGTTGTCCATAATAACGATTATAAATATAAAAAAAAACACATCATTTCTATTTCTTCTCCTTGGTGGTGTTCTATGACTTTCTTATGTTTCCATAGTTTGCAAATCGGCTCTTTCAGTGATTACTAAGAAATGCAGCATAGTGTTTATTCAGTTTTCTTTTTATTATATAAATTTATCCAGGCTCTCTCGTTTTTTTTTTCATTGCAATATTTACGCCAACCCAAATTCAAATAGTAACTATTTCATTTCAACCAAGTAAGTAAATTATTGTAGCTAACTAACTGTTAAATTAGCAAATTGATTGACTGTTTACAATTACCATATGTTCTTATTCTCACTTTTAATTTCTGACAACAGCTGGAGTTTCAAACCAGTTTTTGTTTCCCATGTTAATCTTATGGAGAAATGTAAACTTTCAAAGGGCCCCAGTGCCTAAACCCTCTAATTATTTCCAAAAAAGAAAGTTTCCTGCACAACTTCACGTTAAGCTCTTTTCAATGACACCAAGAACATGTAAATCGGTTCAGTAGTTTCGGAGGAGT